GTGCTAAGAATCAGACAGCATCAAGTGCATGAGATTCGATGTGCGCCAATAATATAGATTTTATAATCAAAAATGAAACTTTTACCCCCAAAATAAAACTAGTTCAACCACTTAAAAACGTAATAGTGTTTTATTTTTAACTATAGAGATGAGGAGGAAATGATGAAAACAACAACAACAATTTATGGTACAAAATTATGGAGTCGAAAAATGTGCAAAATATATGCAAACATTGTTAGCGTCTGACTCTGTTGCACACACACAATGGTTAGATCGGTGCATATACGTATATGAAGCCGTTATTCCGCTCTCTATCTCTCCACTCAGTCTGTTCTATGATTAAATTTTTTTACAAAGAAGTAAAAACATCAAACAAAATTACAATATTTAATAGACGTACTATAAATTAGAATATTCGTACGTGGTTTGCATTAACTATGGCGAGTGGTTCCATATTTACATAATGACTGCAGAAATAGCAGCAGATTACTTCGATAGATCGGAGAGCGGGCGCCTGTGCATAGCAGACACGCATCAAAAGCGTCTTTGTTATCTGCAGAGTGGAGTCAGGGGGGAGGTGTATAAGGTATGTGAGGTAAAATTGTGAGGAGCATAGTGGTTGATGTTGTTGCACCAACAACGAAAAAACCAGCTGATGTAAATCGTCTGTGTTATCTTTTTGACTTTTTACTTAAAATAAACACAGTTTAAAACATTTTCCAGATAAACTGCATCCATACATCAAGTATTATTATAATAAAAACTCCCGTTGTTAAGTTACACTTTAATTTCCAACCATTTGGCTTGGGAAATTCATTGTGGTTTATCTCTGCGAAGATATAGCTACCTTGATTTTTTTACATATATAATCTGCAATCCATATATACATGCACACGTGTGCTGTTTGGTGAAAAACTTTGCAACGTCGAAATCAATGGTCGTAAATTATTTTAATTATCTCATTTAATCGAAGCGGTAATTAATTGGCACAATGTCTTTTTATATATATGTTGCTGTGTGCAGACACTAAACGAGCCATCATAAAATCGAATGGCATTTTCTCATAAGCGAGAAAAAAACGAAGATATGATTGTTTTATTGTGAAAAATATCACACAGGGAGGAATAAGTTTTGGGGTCGAGTGAGAGTGCGACACAATATGGGCAAAAGAAAAGCTGTTTATCGAGACATTTTTGCGCCGGATGTGCTTCACCACAATCTTATGCTATTTTTGTCGTTATTTCTTTCATGCCATTCAGCTAATGCAAGACCAAAGTTTCAACAATGTCATATCCCGAATTATTGGCGCTTTATGACTATATCTGTCGCTGTTTAACGTGAGTGAACATCAATTTTTGTTTCTCTGTGCATAGAACAAATTAGATAACGGCTGCTACATCACTGATGCTGCCGTTTTGCCTTGACATTATTAGACAATAACCGGCGTGACGACAGACAAACTAAGCTTTTATCATTAGTAATATGTGCCGCATCTAAATCTACAAACATTGAGAGGGGAGGGAGAGAGAGACACATATGATCTAACAATAAAAGAGAAACCACATATATTTTCTTCTATTTTTCCTTTTATCTATCAAGTATTATACAATATTAAAAGTTGGAAAAGTTTTATCATTTATCAAAATTACCACGCTGGAAAATATGTGCGCTTTTATACATTGTGAACGACGGTCACAAAACCCAAAAATGCTTTTTCAAGAACGAAAGAGAGTTTTGTGATTTTCAGTTTTCTTGGATATTGCCATTTTCATAGTTCGTTTCGTTCGCATTTGAAATCGGAGTTTTGCTTCAATATCCGGTCGTTTGTTTCGCTTCTTTGTTGATGCTGAATGTAGTAGTCACCTTAAACTACAATCATTTAATCCATTTCGGGCGCGCCAAACAATGAACAATACCAGAAGTAGAGAAAAACTTTGCCATTAAGAGCATCATGTCGAGTGTGAGTGTGTGCGGGAGAGTAAAAAAAGACAATGGCATTTCCTATCGCATAATTGCTTAAATCAAGCGTTTTATTGTTTTTTCATTTAATTTCGGTTGCGGTTGTTCGGTTATACATATATAAAACAATGATGTTAAAACTCCCAAACAACACTTTAGATGGTAAAACGCGATAAGAAAAGTTAAAAGAAATTCATCCAAAATGTTCCAAGATCTTCGACACTCTTATTCTTTCTCTCCAACTCACACAAATTTTTTTTCTTGTCTCTTCTTATTCACACCCCGCCGACAAGCCGGCAAAAATATGTGCATCACGCGTTTGAAATCTTGCCATTTCTCTTTTGCACAGTATGCCAAACAAACACTAAACACCAAAAATGCAAAATTTCCGTCGTATTCCCCGACAAAACCATGTGATGAACACAAAAACGAAGACCCGAAGAAGAAAAAAAAAAGAAGTTATGCGCTCAAGTTTTCACTGTTCACTGTGCGGATAATTTCTTTTGCATCAATTTTGTGCCTTTAAGCGTTTTACGGTTGCCATTTAAAATCTTGATATCTTTTTACTTTTGGATGCCACTTACTCTACATAACACAGACTCTTGCCAGAAGAAATGGTTGCTACGGTGTCACATTCCCCTTCTTGCTGCTGCAAGTAACATATTCTCTATCTCTTTTCAGTTTGATCTCTTCAATGCGCGCTGGTTTTGTATTGTTTTTGAAATGAAATTTGCAATTCCTTAATTCTTTTGCTACTTCATCTGATTTCTTTTCGTCGTTGTTTGTGCTAGTTTTGTTGTTAATGTTTCACATCTAAATGGTTTTAATGTCTGAGCGTATGATAATCTGTTTCTTTTGTTTTTCTTGTTCGCTCAGGGGAAAAAAACTTCTAGTAGGCGACGAAGAGGTTTTTTTCACCACTGTACAGTGCTCGCTTTAAATTGCATAATTTTTTATATCCCGACGAATGGCGAGTTTTGTTTCCGATTTCAAACACTTGAATTCGACTGAAATGGATAGACAAAAATTACCCACGATTGTGACAACGCAATACAGAGATTTTTTGACGCTTGTTCGCTTCGATACTCGGTAGAATACAAAACGAATTTTCTAGCAAAAAGGGCATCAAACACACACATACTGCTTTGAATATTATTGTCGAGTTTGACACAAAAACTCTATGTTGCGTTGCCCATTCGCAAAGTTTTATGCGCATTTTGATATGGCAAGTGATAATTGCGAATTATACAAATTTCTAAAGTATTTTTTTACCAAAATGATGGACAATTTCATAAGAGCTCATTTTGTTTTGGGGACGGTAATTTCGTTTGAATGTCTAACGATAAAATTATTTCGATGGTACTTTTTCATTTCTTTTTGCTAGAAATTTATCTTTACGTTTTTTTTTCTGTTCATTTTATACTTTTTGTTTGTTTGTTGCAACTGATGATGTACGAGTAATAGGAGCAAAATGTCTGTTTACAGCTCTGCAAGAATAAAAAAATGGCAGATAAAATCATCAAAATTGAGAGATATTCTTGAACTCTAAATAATTCAAGTTCTAAGATCATCTTTATTCTTTTTACATTCTTTTATAAAGAGAGAGAGAACATTCCGAATATTTGGTAAGAAGTTTGTTTTTGAATAAAAAAACGAAGCCGTCAAAATACCATTTGTATTCGCATAAGTAATGAAGTGATGCACCTGTCAAAAGTTGAGTTTTTCAATTTGTTTGCTGCTGGTGAGAATAACAGAGGCGGTTGGAGTGGCGGATTGTTGAATAATTCGTATGGTTGTTAAATCAAAGTCAGTTCGATGTTGAAAATGGAACCGTTCGATGACATGGGAATTCATGTATCAAAAGTACAAAGACACTTAATCATTTCGCATTTATATGAAAATGATCGAGTCGAGTCAGGTCATAACAGACGGTAAATGAACGAAATCGTATGCATTGTAGGCCACAAAAGACTCACAAATCACTTACCGATACATGAATATGGATACACTTTTTTCTTTCTCTCTCTCTCTCTATCTCGGTGATGTTCGGTTAAAGTGTTTTACGTTGTGAAAATAATGCGAAAAGTTAAAACAATTTTCTGCTCAATCACAATTCCCAAATGTGCGATATAAATAAAGTTTGTGTTGCTGTTGTTCGTACATATTGAGTTAACATGTAAATTGAAATGTGTGCACAGCACACGGACATACACACAAACAAATACTCACGGACTCGATGAAATAACAATAATAATAAAAATGTTGTTGTACACAACACATAATCCACTCGAACAAATAGACGGTTGTACCTTTTTTTTGCGAGAGCGTACACGGTTATTTTTGCTCAAACAAGAGTGTGAGACAGAGAGCACCGAAGAGAACAAAACAGAGTTTTATGGCAGTATGGTGTAAACCTTTTGTGTCAACATGTAAGAGGTGACGACTACGACGACGCCACTGTGATTATGTGGATTCAGTCAGAAAAGAACGTGCAAAGAAGTGAAAAAGTGATAAAGAAATATCATTCGATCATAAATATGTAAGAGGTGCACAAAAGTCAACGCTTTGAAACGCCATTTGGCTGCTTTTTCCATCGCTGCCACTATGCCACTCTTTCGCATTTGCATGATGGATGGATTCCGCTTGCATCCATCGCCTTACCATTTGTTTTCACTCTTCCACTTTTTTTCTAGCGTCTGTTTCGTTCTGCCCAAACACACAAGAATATTGATTCGGTGTAACATTTTGCAAAACGGATTTGACATGGTTAACAATACAAAAATGCTGTAACTTTCCAGCATATACTGGCCTGCCATCACACGCCGAAAAATATCAAATAGCTTTTCATATCAACATGAGTCAATTTCGACAGCAGGTTCAGGAAGAGAGAGAGAGAATGTTTTTATTTTGTATTTCGAATAGAGTCCCAAAAGCGAAGCCCAGAAGTTTCCACGTAAGTCAAATTTTACATTGGAAAAAAAGACCAGCATCTATTATACATGCGAATACATAATAATAAAAATGAAAATGCTTGAACTCACTGTACAATCTGATGCTTCCATCCGTTTCGCCGCGCGGATTTTTCGAAACACATTTGTAGCTTCCATAATCGTCAAAGGATACACTGAATATCGTTAGTTTCATGTGCGTTTTATACGATGGTATGCCAACGCTTGTGTCTGCTCTACTCTCGTTCCGTTTTGTTTCATCGAGACATTTGCCCAGCCCGGCATCATTTGGTTGTTGATGGATGTTGTGTGTGTTTTTTTTGTCGGTTGAATATTTTTTGTTCAGTTTAGTTTAGTCGGTTGTTATTATTCCAAAGGTTTTCGATGCGTCCGTCACAAAAGTCACATATCAAGTTCGACAACACAAAAGAAACACAAAAAAGGAGCATAATATTAGTTTTTTGTTCGTTCGTTCGCATGAGAATAGGAATAAAAATGTAGAAAGAGAATCGAAGAAAATAAATAATACAAACAAAAATATCAATGTCAGTGTTAAATACAGTGAAATAAAAACACAAACAATGGAAACATTCATCAAAATAAACACAATCACATTAACATATTTATGCGGTTTGCTACACCAATTCCCACTCAGCATTCAAGCACATCCGGCCATTTCATATTCGACACACACACATATTTATATATATATGACTGCGCGCACTCTTTTTTTGTGGCTGGCAATGTTGCCGTTAGCCAAATTCAATATGCATGCGGGTCTCTAATAAAATATATCAGCCAACACTCAACGATGTCGAAATTTATTCGACCGTTTGATTGATAAAGTACTCAACATGTAAACGAGCCATCGAATCGCAATTTGTCAGCAGACATTTTGATATATATCTATATAAAATGTTGGTAAATTACGCACTCTTCTTTATTGGAGGGTTGCTTTTAGTACTAGGTGTTTTATGAAAATGATTTTATATTGAAATGAACCGAAGCCGGTGCAAATCAAATCTTTTAATGAAATCGATTGCAGAATAATTCATTTCATTCCAATCATTACCTTTTGATTGCACTGAATTATTCTCATTCTAACACATATTTAATTTGAAATTGATTAAAGCACAAAATTCATCATCATTCATTTTCCATGGACTTTTTGGTTACAATTGGATTTTGCCATTCACTCTCTGTGGTTGCACAGAGATAAATGGATTCCATAATGGAATATGAAAAAATTCTCTGCGTATTTTGATCCGGATGTAATGTTTAATTATGAACAATCTTGCCAATTTTATCAAATGATTGCAGGCAATGTTGGCTTTGTTGTCGATGCTGATGGTTTTCAATAGCAGCCACCCCCAAAAACTCGTCATTGTTCCACGTCTGTCGATTTTCAATGAGTGTTTTGGTGTATTTCATTCAATCATGTGACTGAATTTCAAATCATGGTTGACCAGATGCCAAAGCAAAAACTTATCTGGCCACGACAAAGTCATTTTGCTGCCAGAATTAATATTTCAATAGCATTGATCGAACGGATGGACGGACGACACACTGCATATGCACACTGCACATACATATGGCAATGCATGCGTCGGTTCATATAATGATGATTAGGTCACGTTATGATTAAAATTTGCAGTTTCTACGCTTTGTTCTCGAACGAGTCGACAACGTATTGTTTCATAAGCCTCACTGAATGTGCTGCATTCATATGTGTATACTGTATACACAAAAAAAAAAAAATATGTGTAGCACTATAGTGCTTTATCTTGAAATGATCTTAAACAGTCGTACAAGCATCGTGAAGCGTGGGCCATTTTCAAATTTTGCGATTATGCATTGATTGTCAAAAAGCTGATTTTGGACAATGCATTGATTAGCCGAATATTAGATATACACGATGAGACCAAAAATGAAAGCTTTTTCGTACTCATCTGCTACTTTTTCATTTAAAAGCAGAAAAATGATAAATTTAAACTGAAATGCGCTAGAAAGAGGCAGAGTTTCACGAGTCCTTTTATTGTTTTCGGCAGAAAATGTGGCAGATTTTAATCGACTTTCAAATGGTGCGCTGTTTATCACGCGATGCAATAAAGTTCATTTTATTTTATTTCGACTGATTTGACCATAGCGTCAAATTTATAGCAGTTTTCAATTTGACTCCATGTTGTCGGTCTGCCAGAAAATTTATGGACAAATTAAAAAAAATATCGCCAGCCATTCTTTGGCACATACACAATATCGATTTAATTTAATCGCTTGGACGCATATTTTAAAGTTACTGTTAATTGAATTAATTTCACTAGTACTCTCTCGTTTACACTCTTTTTTATTCAAACATTCAATTTAATTTAACACCACACAATTTATTTATTTTAAACAAAAACAAAATCAACAACAAAAATTATAGTGATTTATATGTTTACAGCCTTTGAATCGATATTATTATTTTTACCGATATTTTTTTGAATCATGTATCATTTGACCATCCCCTTTCGTCCAATAATTTAAAGATGTTGGATGTGCCTCGGAAAAGCATTCTAATGTTACACTGAAACCTTCTGCTGCTCCGACTACGAACAGTTAAAAAAAAAAGAATAAAATTTTAATTAGAATTGAAAATGATTTGTTGACATTTATTTTCATGCTCAATGAATTAAAAAAAAATTTCTAGATGAAATTTGCACAAATGCTTTTGCAATTGGTACTTTAATGAAAATGAAATTCATTTAGCTCGAAGGTGAAATGGGTGCATTGAAATCCCAAAGGTGTGAAAGATAATAATAATCAAGTAAAAAAAGTGCATAATTAAATGTGTCAATGGTGCAAATGCGATTATAATCATGATAATTTTCACACAAACCAAGCTGATGTGGAATCCACAACATCGGTGGAACTGAAAGAATAAGAAACGAGAATAAGAATAAGAAAAATGAAACTCGATTACAAAATTAACACTAATTAGAAGGGATAATTTTGAATAGCGATAGCGTACGATGGCCACATTGAGAGAATGCATTGCAACTTGTCTTCATGCTTTTATGTGACTATTCATTACAAATTTAAGATGAAACATTCAACGACACAGTCAAAATATATTCCGTGCACGCTCAGATGCTGTTTGTCGTGTGCTTTTGTGTCTTTCTCTTCAGTGTAAATTGGCGTTGATGGCAAAGCATTTAAACGAAAAATTCCCCGTAAGGCTTTTAGAATCCCTTTCAACCTTTCATTTTGTGTCTCGCAACGCGTTCAGCTGCTTTTCACAGAATGTTGATAAATAAAACTTTTGACGAAATGAAAATTGGAATGCAAGAAGAGCAGAGATTTGCGATTGAATATTCTTAGCCCTTTCTCTACAACATTCCCATTGCAAAGTAATTATCGCCGGCAACGCTTCAAAAGCCAGAGAAAAAACAGAATCATTTTCTTTGATGAAACGAAGAAGTTAAGAAGAAAGCATTCAAAATGGAAATCTATAGACATACAACGGTAAAAACTTTGTAGTATTTTTACTTTGAATTCAAATTTCAATACGCGAAGTAATATAGAAAAAGTTGTGCTTTCCACTCGAGTCTCGAGAAGTAACATCGAAAAAATAGAAAATTTAATTCAATATTTGAAAAAAAACATTGAAAGAGAAAGAGAGACATAACCCATTCAAAACGAATATATTGTATCTGCACAATGTACAGATGGTGAGTGAAACATTGCAAAGTGCAATTGATATTTATACTTTTTTAATTGCACTGAAATTTACGCTTTTTCATTTCGATGACTGCGTGTTTTTTCTTCGGTCGCACATTCAATGTGTATGCAATTTGTAGAGCGCGTGAGATTCTTTTGCTGCGGAATGGAGAAAAAATTAAACCTGCATAAAGAATTTATGTATTCTATTCACAAAAACATACACTTAGTTTCGCTACCGGATCTCGGGGCAAGAGAGAGACCGGAAGGGATGGAAGAGAGAGAGAGAGAGCGTGAACGAACTGAAAGTGGAAAAAACTTAGTGTTGAAACATTTCCTTTAATTATATTCGTCTTTCAAGCAGTTTTCTCCCTTTCAGTAATATATAGCGTCTAACGCCACTGAACTCTCGTGTGCACATAATTTAATTCATGCGATGTATAAATATAATCGAGCCTAGGATATTGCTAATCACACGGGATGGTGCGATTTGCAAAGTGTGTCTATGTGTTTCCGGTGCCATGATATGATCATGCTATTCATCGAAAATTTCTCTCATCCGGTACACAAGTCAACCTCAGTGTGTGATGCAGCTGATTTTGTTCAATTTCTTTGATTCTTTTCTACGACGCTAGCGCTCTTTCCATTCATTTTACGTGCTAAAAAATTCATAAATGAAGAAAGGAAAAAAGACGAAAGAAAATAGTGACGTGAAACGAAAAACGCGCATTTTCTTCATCGAATTGAAACCCAAGTCACATGCTGATGTTGCAATAGACTCTGGCAATGCATTCTGAATATGACCGAAACCAGATTGCAGCGCTTCAATGACATCAGTGCAATATTTATACCGCCAGAACAAGCAGAATGAATGCAAAACGTTTCGCGTGCGCGTGTATATGTGTGTGTTTTGTTCTCGATTTTGCACGTTACAGTCATATAAGAGTGTGATTTCATAGTTTCGGCTTGTCGTTGATGTTAGCGATTTTTCCTTTTATTTTGGCGTGCTGACTATTGCTGCATATGTGTACTTTTGCCCCATCTCCTGTCCCATGTCTTAATGTTATGATACAAGGTATATGTGTGCATGTGTGTATGCACCCGCGAGAAATTCGCTTGTATACTATAATTCATGCCATTCGAGAGACTTATGAATCAACATTATTATCTTCGTATTTTGTAATCATATCATGAACGCAATACGCTCTCCGACACACGCTACAGGGTACAGGCACACCAAATGTTCAGCAAAATCTAATGTATATGTGTGTATGGAAAGTTGTAAAATATTTCACTTTTCCACTCTTTGCCAAAGATGCAAAAATCAAGACGAACACAAAATATTGAAGACAAAAAAATTGCACACGCCAAGTCGCGCGAACGCGAATCGAGAAGAATAGAATAGTGCATAGTCTGAAAACTCATTATGCATATGAAATTTTGCAATGCGAAGAAACACATTTTGCATCATGTGTGGATTTCTTGTTATTTTTACGTAGCGACAACCATTCATTGCATAAGGAACGTAGCGTGTATGTTTTTCTGTGTGCTCAATGCACGATTTACCAGCTAGAAAACACCAAACAATACTTGCTCAGAGACGAAGAATGTGAACAACAGAAATTGCAACGCAATTATTTCTTGAAACATGTCATATGGTTTTTAAAACATCAAATTGGAGAACGAGTGTGATGCAAACGCTAACAAAGATAAATTACTAAAACATCCTCACTTCAGCATTTATTTAAATGAGCATGAGAGAGGGGGGCGAACAATAAAATTTGTGCAGCAAATATGTTTCGCTTTTTTCAAGGCCAATTTGCCATGAACACAACAGATGACAAAAAATTGAATTCAGGATGGCACAATCAACAAAATTCAATATTCAACTTTTTGTTAGTTTTTCCTGTAAAATTGAATCCATTATTAAAATTATCAAAATAAATTTCTTCGATGATTTTCATATCTTACAGGGGAAGTTTTTTCGATTTTAAGCTACAATTATTCAAGTTCATTTCCTTTATGTTATAATGATTTTTGCTGAAAATATTCTTCTTTACCAATTCATTTCGTTTCGATCGACCTCAAAATTGACATCGACACAAGCATTTTGTTACCCATCGAAACAAATAAAGAAATGGTTTGGGCGTTCCGGACACTGGTAACGAGATGTATGATAGCACGTTGGCGTTTCTTGTCTTGATTGGTAATCACATGACGTTTGTACTTCGTTAACCCATTTGAATGGTTGGGGCGTTCATTTTTTTCCTTTTAGTTGATCATCATCGTACGTCGGGCAATCAAAAAGCCAAACGTCATTCCGCTGGGGAAAAACCCCCCGAACAACACAAATACGATGCTGAAAGCAGGTCAGTTGCATTTATGAGAAACTTTTTTCATTTGCACCAAATGCCCAAAAATCAACGGACACTCTTCACTCTCATATTCAATCGCTCACATTGGCAAAACCTAAATGAGGATCAGTGCAAACTTTTCGAAATCCGGTCACGTTTTCATATTTTTTTTCTTCTTCTTTCAATTCTCTTTTAGTTCGCATTGCTGTATTTATAATGATTACTCTTGTGTCATTATCGCAAGCTAACGGCTCGGTTTGGGGCATCATGTTACACATCTTTCTCACATACATTGATGATGCTCACGTTTTGCAGCTACACACACACACACATACACATGCTCGCAAATCGATGAAAATACCCAGGGCCATCAAATCATTTTGCACGACTGGATGAAAAGCGACCAGTAAATAAATAATACTTGGGCATGTGTGTCACATATCGCTTGCTTCACATTAAATTAATCATCCAGTACGGAATTAAATTGAAAAGGAGTCGAAAGTCTTGAGCGCAAAACAATTACTTCTCGGCGGAGAAGCAAGACGATGCCGAGTCCATTTATGTCAGAAAGCAACGACTCTTGATTCTGTTGAAACTTTTAATTAAGATTTATTGATATTTCATTGGTGTCATTGTGCATGAATTCATTTCATCTCACAGCCGCTATATCTGTGTTTTTTTCCGTCATATTTCTGGTGAGTTCATCTTGTAATCATAAAATTAGAGAATCCGGCCATTAAGTGGCGTTAAAGTGATGAGAAAATACTCTCATAAAGTACCAACTGAGTCACAATGTATGATTATCAAGTGTACTACAAACTCTTTTTTTCTTCCTTTCTTCGCTACTTAAGGAGCATCCATTGTGTGAAAACTGGCGTAAACGATTATGTCGTTGAATGCCTGTAAGCTTCAACACCCTTTTCCTTTGTTATGAATTAATGCAACAGAATTCAATCTAAAAACTCCCATACAACCAGCATCATATGCATGCACGACACAGAGCGGCCTTTTTTGTTGTTATCGTTTTCATCATCATTTGGTGTGTTGTTATGTGAACAATGCAAGAATTCCTTCCTCTTTTTGTTCACAGGGAGAGAGAGAGAGAGATACAGAGAGAGGAAAGAGCTAAAAGCAACAAGCAAACATTTCTTTCTATGGTGACACATACTGCCGCAATCTTTTGTGAATTTTACTCGCTCCTTTTTCGCTCGTGCCAAAAACCATAATCACAACCACGTCATGTGTATATTTAGTATACGTATAAAAGCAACACACACACACACACACCAATTCCATGTCAAACCACACCACGACCAAATACGACAATAGCACAACAATAATGAAAATATTTCGGTTGAGAAAGTCATCAAAGCATCCGCAATGTTGTTATTTTAGCTAGTTTTGGTATTAGAATGGTGTTGCTTGTATGCATGTTAACAGAATTCAACACAGATTAAACTCTGAAAACGGAAACATATGTAAACGGAAATTTAGCTTTTAAAAAGGGAATATTTTCGAATTTAACCATTGAATAACCATTTTAAATATTTACAGTTGGTAAACTTTAATCTTCAGGATTTCACAGAAAAGATTTTCACTCTTTAGAATGATTATTTTTTACCAATGCCGATTAATTTTTATAACAATAATAAAAATATCCACTTCAATAAAATTTCATTGATTTTGACCGAACAACTATAAACTTTCAACTTGAATTTTGGTCAAATTTTGGAGCATGCTTCATTCCGAAGTGAAAGAAAAGAGATAAGAATAGGGATTGCACATTCCCCTCGAAGGAAAAAGAATTATCTTTTCATTTTTCATCATCTTTGTATTGTTTTCTACTTTTGATGTTTGT